ATCGATTTTTCAGAGATGTCAACAAACACACCATTTTGCATGCTGCCGAGTCCGGCCTTATTGGCTCAGACGTTTTTCTGAATTCGGCCGATAATAATTACGATTTTGTAAAATTTTATATAACTTTTCTTCTCAGTTTAACCCAATCTACTATAATCTTTGGGGTCGTCCATATCGAATCAAACACCCTGTATGTACAGGGTGCTACGCAACATATTGACTTCCGGTCATGGGAAGGTAGAGGGGACTAAGACAAACAGAAAAGTATTGTACTATTTTGCGCTTGGACGAATAGTTATCAAGATACGAAATTTAAAAAATCGCCGTATTAGCCCAACCTACTGGCGAATGTAAGCGCGCGGTGAGATGCGTCGGCCTAGCGGCCCCGCGCGGGGAGACGTGCGAGCGGTCGCGTAAGCGGCGGAAGGGCAGCGGCGCGCCTCGCCTCCCTACTTCTCGCCCCGCACCGCCATTCTATTCCTCGCCGCACGCCGCCGCCTCGAACGGGACCGCTAGGCCGAAGCATCTCACCGCGTGCTTACATTCGCCAGTAGGTTGGGCTAATACGGCGATTTTTAAAATTTCGTATCTCGATAACTATTCGTCCAAGCGCAAAATAGTACAATACTTTTCTGTTTGTCTTAGTCCCCTCTACCTTCCCATGACCGGAAGTCAATATGTTGCGTAGCACCCTGTATATTACACACAGAATACATTATCATTTTTTTTACAGGAGAGATTATCGTTGAATATTAATTAATGATGTATCAATTTCGTATATAAACGAATATTTACAAAATTTAAAATTATTAATTGATCTTACGCTGCAAAATGTGGTCATCGTTAGTGGAAATATCTTTCCCGCTGTGATACGAAAAGGTTCGTTGGTACGTATCAATAATAGAATAAGACTTTTCTGTTTTTTCGAGTTCAATTTGTACCACTCAAGATTGCACATAGCACGGTATACTGCTTCGCACTTGACACGTATAAATACATATCAATATCTGCGTTATTTTAATATTTTCATTACATTTCAATAAAATTAAATATTCAGTATAGTCCATAAATATAAGTTAAAATTAAGTAGAATTTTTAATAAATTCACTATTTCTATCTAAAGACAAAAATTTTAAAAATTAAGAAAATTTGAGAAATATAATTTTATACTTAAAGTTTGTTAAAATAGCATTTATGCGAGATATGTCTAGATAGAACATACATATACGAATATACATATACAACGTTTTTAATTGTTTCAGGCAAATATCTAAAAAATGTGGAAGATACAGAAAAATATTTCCAACAAAAGCTGTAGGACAGCAAAGAGGACAGATAACATTTGTATCTATGACAGGTGACATTTGTATTATCTTTTAAAAACCCCTGCAAAGGTTCACTCTAAATTTTTAAACGGGAATCCTCGTATTTATTATTACATATTCATATAGCTAATGTTGTAACGTTTTCAACACACACTACCACTACTTTTGTCTTTTGCATAAGCCTATCTCGAATTAGTACGTGCCCGTGTGATTCGACAGGAAGAGGCAGCCTAGCGTTTACGGTTGCTCGGCACGTAATGTTAGACAGAGCACCCCCTCAATGCCTTGCCGCGCACTTATTGTTAGCAACCGTAAACACCATTGACATATGTATACAGGGTGTCGGATTCGATTTGGACCACTCCAAAGATTATAGTAGATTGGGTCAAACTGAGAAGAAAAGTTATATACCATTTTACAAAATCCGTAATTATTATCGCGTAATTAAGAAAAACGTCTGAGCCAATAAGTGTACGGAGGAGCTGAAAGCCGGACTCGGCAGACATGCAAAATGGTGTATTATTCTCCTACCACCAGAAAAACATTTTCGGCGCGGTGTCATATGTCGCGCGTTCGCTCGCTGCGCGCTGTTCGCCCGCTCACCGCTCCCCGCTCGCCCCCGTCTCTCATCGATCGATGCGTGACTCCACCTCTCGCTATCGGATCTTGAGAGATGTCAACAGATACACCATTTTGCATGTCTGCCGAGTCCGGCCTTTCGCTCCTCCGTGCACTTATTGGCTCAGACGTTTTTCTTAATTACGCGATAATAATTACGGATTTTGTAAAATGGTATATAACTTTTCTTCTCAGTTTGACCCAATCTACTATAATCTTTGGAGTGGTCCAAATCGAATCCGACACCCTGTAGAGTGGACTGCTGATCGCAGTGGTAGGAGTACCCGCACGAGTAGAATGAGAGGCGAATAATATGAGGACACGTCCCGTGTCAGTTCAGTAAGCCTGATTGGTCCCTGAAATTACAGTAACCGATCAAGCTTATTAAAGAAAGACATGTCCTCCTATTATCTGCCTCTCATTTTACTTGTATATTAATGAATAAACTTGATTAAAACTTACTTGCTCAGCTATAACTTCCCCTGCACCGCAATAAAGTAACGTATGCGCCAACAAGGTAAAAATGCCAATTATCAGAAAGCATACTCGTGAAAAAGACATATGGCCCATCTCCTTTTCACTAATCACCTGGATAATACATCTTGCTAATTAATAAAAATGTATTTTTAATTAATTATATAATTAATATATATGTTTATGCGCTCTTTTCATTCACACTTACAGTAACCGATAGAAATCCAAATAGACAAAATACAATACCAAAATAAAATACTAGGCCCAACATCATTAAAGTAAATATGTCTTCAATATTATTAGCAAATCTAGAAGTGTAAATACGTTAAGAAAGATTTTACATTAAATCAAATAAAATGTTGATGCATTTAAGAAAAGAATGGATTTACAAATGTGATGCTATTGCGATACTTATAAACTATGGTACAACCTTATTATTCGTAGATGAGTTTCTACGTTGTTACGTAGAGCGCTATCGAAATCCTTGCACGATATCAAATTGTCTAAGCGATGTTTGAAATTTTCCAGTTGGCCACAGATGTGAAGAATCGCGAGTCCGAGAAAGGCGTCCACCGAGGAATATGTTGTTCCACCTACAAACATCGTCGTAGCTTGAATCACAAGCGCGAGTTCAAATTGCGGACTCTTATCCGTGTCGAAGAAGTAATACGACTGATATGGTAACAGTCTTCCCTGATCCGTTAGATTTGTTACATATCTGAAGTGTATGCCAAAAGAAGGAAGAACGATGAGTACGACAAATACGAATATCATCAAAACATATGCACAGATTACAATCAATCGCGAAGTTCGTGCTCGTCTTATCATCACATCCCTTTCTGCGTCTATCTTTAAGTCCGCCCAATCTTCCGCCATCATCTTTATAAGGAGTGTAACAGCTTGAAAATATTACAAACTCGTATATAAGAACATTTGCAATTATGCGAAAAAGTATGATTTTATTTTAGCAAGCACTAAAATTATTTATTCCTTAATAAACCAAAAGATCGCATTCATACATTTCATTATTCATTAATTTGCCATCAATTCTGATGCTAAATACCAAAATGCTGTTTAGAGATTAAATGCAATAAATAATTCGGTGAAAAAGCAGAAAGCATAAGACTGAATGTATATTAATTTCAAAAATACCTGTACGTTTCCATCGTATGATGACAAGTTTCAGCGAAACCACTATTAAAGGTAAAGTAACTTGAAGATTATCCACCACAAGTATCATGTTACCCCAAACTCGTACAAAAGAGCATAAAAGAGGAATAATGGCTAAGAAAGTTACTATAAAGAAAATTATGCCCACACGAAGATCAGACGCGAAGGTATTCTTAACTGCCTTATTGGGTTTTGGCCATAAACCAATCAGTTCCAAACCAAATCGATTTAGTTCAATTGCCCACACAAAATCTACCGTAGGTATTTCAATGTTAAAAAATTAAAATGCTTTTTCAATATTATAATATTAATTAATATTCATTATATGCATTTTATGTTGTTATAAATAAAAATATTTTTTAATTATGAAAATTAATAATTAAAAAATCTCTAACACTTTAGTGTAATAAGCTGTTTTTTAAATATAGAATCAGTTATTTATAAAAACTTACGATTTTTTTATCAAAATAATAAATCAATTAAAGATTTTTTAAATTTGAACAGATTAAGTTAGAATAAAAATTTTATAAGTAAGAAATGAATGGAATGTGATAGTAAATAAAAACATCTAATGTGTGACATATACATATACATATATTTACTATTATAATTAATACTATTATAAAACAACTTTTTGTTTTAATACATATTTTCTGTTTTGTATATTTTAATAATTCAACAGCTTTTACAAAAAATAATTATAACTTTTATTATGATTTGAAAACCATTATACGTGATAAATGCTCGATACCTTTATACCCCGAATGTTTAGTGACGTTCATGTTGAAGACTAATGTGGAGAAACTCGCTTCTTGCAACTTCGTTGCGCAAAACGGTCATTACGCATGCTCGTAATGTGAGATATGACAGATGGTTACTTCATCGAAAGATGTATTAAATATTACAACTACTATCCCCAGCTGATAGCGCTTTTCCAGTTCGTAAACAACTTTACGAGCATAAGACTTGATCACAAAAAAATACTAATACCTGTACACTAATAAAAAAAGGAGATATGTTGGGTCGTAGCATGAGTTCATCAAACTTGTTATACAAGTTTCCTCCAACTTTACACTGTTTCGCCACGATATCACTTTGTAGCCAGCAACATTAACGTGTCGTTGAAGTTTTAATAGTCCTCTGTAGAGGTAACAAGGAGACTAAAAAACTTCGATCGAAAAGAAAGATGATACGTTATAAAAGGTGCAGCCTATAAACTACTCTTTGTGAATATTTCGAATTTTATTGTAATTTTAGTCTAATTTTCTTCATAATAAATGCAATTAATCATGTACAGTGTAATGTGATAATGGCCCTCACGGAAACATAAACAAAATAATTACTAAAAAATTACTGTCATATCAGTAATTTCTAATAATTCAATTATTGGACGGAAGTAATTATTCAGTGCTTTTTTCGTTCCCAGTATATACATTTCTGTAAGGGGGTGTTTACTTTTAAATTATATTTATTAATATATGTAAATTGTTCTATGTATATTAATAATAACATAATTAATATTATGTTATTGCAAACTTTAAAGATGAGTTATATGTATATGATATTGATTTCCAAATCAAACACATAATTAATTAATTTATGTTATATTTCAATACACAACCAATTTTTTAATATAAAATATAATTTTGATTAATAAAACAAATTTATCTCTCTATTTTTATTATTTGGATTTAAGATCATAAAAACCCGATATGATCAAACGGGAGCAAATTTCATGCATTGAAAAATACCGTATTAATTATTATATTAAAATTTATAATAAAACATATGACATATTTTATTATAAGAATACAATTATATAACAAACATTGAAATAAATAAACGTTTTACTAGTAATTTTCATACTTTAATCTCGTATTGCTAGTAGAAACGATATATAGCCAGCCGATGTTTTTAATAGCTGAAAAACAAACCTCTACTTAAAACAGATATGAACAAGATTTTATTGAAACGAAAGAAAATATTTTAACTTTGTTACATATATTATTACTCATTTTCATATATGTTTAAGATTGTTAATTATATAATAAAAATATCTTACGCTACAAAATGTAATCATCGTTAGAGGAATAATTTTTCCTGCGGTGATATGAAAAGGTTCACTGGCTTGTATCATCAATAAAATAAGACTTTTCGCTTTCCTTGATTTCAGGTTATACCACTCAAGATCATATATGGCACGGTATACCGCTTCACACTTAGTGCACATGTACATATAAGAGCATATAAATATTCGCGTTATCACAGGACTTTCCATATATATTAATTAATAATTATCCTTAATTATTTCAACATAATAAACAAAATTCTGTCTTCTATTGCAAAGAAAATAGATGGAATTGTAAACAGATGATAATGAAACTTGGATTTAATTAATATTTATAAAAATAGTTATCAAGACATAATAAATTAAAATGCATTATAAGCATACACGAAACAATAGTAAATGTTTGGAAGAAATACTCCAACAAAAATCGGTTTTTTTATATCAATTAACAAAACAAACTATAAAAATACAAGGGCTTAAAGTTTTTGTATTAAACCATTCACAATGTTTTATTTACGTTATTTATCTATATTGATATTATGTTTATTATTTATACACAATTATTTATCAGATTGAAATAAAATGTTGAGAATGAAAAACGTTCATGAACACATTCATAATAATCTGGAAACGTATGTCGACACAGAAATTCAGCTATATGTATATTCGGATATGTGAACGCACTAAAATAGATTTTGAAAAGATCTGCAAAAGATCGTCAGAAACCGCAACTTTTTCGCGTTCAATATTAGTAACATGGAACTGTGTAATAATTTCACAGAAAACGCGTATCCTAACAAAAGAAGATTGAAAATTGATTTATTGCCAGAGATTTACCCCATACCGACCCCTGATTTCGATGCTAAACTATTGTACTTTCATCGTTGTATGGTTCCACGTGGGTTTACAACTTTCCACACGAAGCGAGACCCATTTCACATCGACCTCTACTTTTGAAGCAAAATACTTCTATAATACTTCCATCATTGTACAGTTCCACACGGGTTTGCAACTTTTCAAACAAAGCGAGGTCTATCCCACACCAACTTCTGCTTTCAGGGGGAAATTACTTTTATCGTTGTACGGTCCCACATGGATATGCAACTTTCCGTACGACGTAAAATCCATCCCACACCGACTCTTACTTTCAGGGCAAAACTACTTTCGTCGTCGTATGGTTCCACATGAGTTTGCAACTTTTCATACGAAATGAGTTTGTCGACCCCACACCCTACCCCCTGATGAAACATTTTCGAACTCTTTCCTACAAAAACTTTAAGTCCCTCCTTAAATCATTACTTACATATATTTTATAGTTATTTTATAATTTGTTTTGTTAATTGCTACAAAAAACACCGCGATTTCTGCTGGAGCACCACTTCCAAACATTTATCATTATGATACGGATTAATGATTGGCACAATGGTATAAAGTTAAATAAATAATCTTGGTTTTCAGGCTTTCGCGGCTGTTGTCTTCTTTAGTCATGGCTTCCGGATGGTTGCCGCGTCTGTTTGCAGTGTGGTGCCGACGCGACGTTTCGCAGGCGTTGCAGTCTGCTTCATCAGGGCTGGGAGTCTCTGTGAGACTGAGCTCCCTCGCGTTGCGCTGGTCCTTTCAGGCTGGGAGACTGTCTCACAGAGACTCCCAGCCTGAAAGGACCAGCGCAACGCGAGGGAGCTCAATCTCACAGAGACTCCCAGCCCTGATGAAGCAGACTGCAACGCCTGCGAAACGTCGGCACCACACTGCAAACAGACGCGGCAACCATCCGGAAGCCATGATTAAATAAATAATATTTATATTTGCAAATATAAATGTTAGTTTTACCTGTTCCGTTATTAGCTCTCCGGCTCCACAGTAAAGAAAAGTATGTACTAAAAGAGTATTCATACCAATCATTACGTACAACATTCCCGAAAGAGGAACGTTATTCGTTTTACTGTCGGAAATTGCCTGTATGATATACATATATGTATATTTTATTATTTCAGAAAAATTAATTTATTCCCATAAACTAAATAGAAACAATAATATTGTAATTACAGACAAGACATATTATGCACATAATTTTGTATACTCTAAACGAGGATGTGAAAGACGTCTTAATATTTATAATGCAAACTTTACTAAACTTACAGTAAGTAATAGAAATCCGTATAGGCAAAATACAGTACCAAAATAAAATACTAATCCCAACATTAACAACGTGAAAGTATCTTCCAATTTATTGGCAAATCTGTGAACAAATACATTCAGAAATATCACATTAATTTATGTACGTGCAATCATGTATAGGTACATATACAGGGTGTCTGAAGCAAAAGTAGCCACTTTGCAAATAGCGGTAGATTGGGTTAAACTAAGGAGAAATATCATGTACCGAGGTACAAAGTAACAATAGTTACCGACAAAGAAATTTATACGTTTGAGCGAATGAGGATGCAGGAGACGGTAGGCCGGACTTGGGAGGCATTTAAGAAAATCGATCGATGAGCGGGAGGTGGAGCGACGCGCGAGATACTATGTTTATGTTTTGGGTCGCCCGTTGCTCGCGCTCGCTGCCGCGCTCGCCGCCC